GCTGCTGGTGCCCGCGTCGCCGCCCGCCTCGCTGCTGCCGCCGGCCGGCGTTGGCCCCGCGCCGCTGTCCCAGCAGTGGACGGCCGGCATGGGCCTGCTGATGGCGCTCATCGTGCTGCTCATCGTGGCGGGCAACGTGCTGGTGATCGTGGCCATCGCCAAGACGCCGCGGCTGCAGACGCTCACCAACCTGTTCATCATGTCCCTGGCCAGCGCCGACCTGGTCATGGGACTGCTGGTGGTGCCGTTCGGGGCCACCATCGTGGTCTGGGGCCGCTGGGAGTACGGCTCCTTTTTCTGCGAGCTCTGGACCTCGGTGGACGTCTTGTGCGTGACGGCCAGCATCGAGACCCTGTGTGTCATCGCCCTGGACCGCTACCTGGCCATCACGTCGCCCTTCCGCTACCAGAGCCTGCTGACCCGCGCTCGGGCGCGGGGCCTCGTGTGCACCGTGTGGGCCATCTCGGCCCTGGTGTCCTTCCTGCCCATCCTCATGCACTGGTGGCGGGCCGAGAGCGACGAGGCGCGCCGCTGCTACAACGACCCCAAGTGCTGCGACTTCGTCACCAACCGGGCCTACGCCATCGCCTCGTCCGTCGTGTCCTTCTACGTGCCTCTGTGCATCATGGCCTTCGTGTACCTGCGGGTGTTCCGCGAGGCGCAGAAGCAGGTGAAGAAGATCGACAGCTGCGAGCGCCGCTTCCTCGGCGGCCCCGCGCGGCCGCCCGCGCCCGGGTCCCCGAGCTCCGCCGCAGCCNATCATCCGCGACAAACAGAAACGCCAGGAGCTGTCGCCCGGAAAGGAAAGTTTGCGGAGGGGCGGGAGAGTGGCTTGCTGCTGCTTCGGGGCTCTTTTCTGTCTGTGGTTCGGCCTTCTCTGATGTGTGCGTGTGATGCATCTTAGACAACCCTCCCCCCCCAGGTGGTTTTTGACACTTTTTGCGAGAACTGGAGTGGAAACTGGGCGGGTAGGGGAAGGCAAGAGCATTACGCTTCGGGGCTCTTTTCTGTCTGTGGTTCGGCCTTCTCTGATGTGTGCGTGTGATGCATCTTTAGACCCCCCCACCCCCAGGTGGTTTTTGACACTTTTTGCGAGAACTGGAGTGGAAACTGGGCGGGTAGGAGAAGGCAAGAGCATTAGGGGATAAAAGTCCACTGACTTGGCTTCCATCGCGTTCCCGGGAACAGGAGCAGTCAACCAGAGAGAGAGACAGAGACAGAGGAATGACAATTTGTCAGGACATGTTTCCTTTTGCTTTCCAGAGAAATTTCATTTTAAGTCTTGAGTAGTGATTTTTCCTGTTCTCAAAGCAAAGGGGAAGGATGGATGCAAGAAATCACGTTTCAAGAAATTTTAAGCTATTCTTGGAACAAGTCTCACCTCGCTTTGCTGGTGTAAGGCAAGCCCACTGTCCCCTGCGCGCCTCGGTGGCCAGGCTGAGGGATTCCTACCTCACGCTGTGCATATTGCACAGCAAGATAGAAAGACTTGTTTATATTAAACAGCTTATTTATGAATCAATATTAGTTGGAAGGACCAGGCGCTGAGCCTCTCTCTGTGACGTGTGACTCTGTCAATTGAAGACAGGACAGAAAAAGAAAAAAAAAAAAAAGAGGAAACAGTTCATATTACTGCACATGTGCGTTTAAAAAAAAAAAAAAGGAGTTATCCAAAATGCCATTTTTGCACAGTGTTAGGAATTGTAAAGTCCACAGAAGATGTTACTTGCACAAAAAGAAATTAAATATTTTTTAATGGGGGGGAGATGATCTTAAGAACGAAAATAAAATTCAAAGTCTTCTTCTGTTGTCTATTATGTTATTGAACTAATGATTTCTTGGGAAAATACCTTTTTATACTCTTTTATCATGGTACTGTAACTGTATCCATATTATAAATACAATTATCTTAAGGATTTTTTTATTATTTTTTTATGTCCAAGTGCCCACGTGAATCTGCTGGTAAAATTTAGCACCTGTGTGTAAATTCTTTTCCTCTTGTGTGTTTTGCCAAGTATTTATACTTTGGTGCAACTAACTACTGTGTCCATGTGCAATAAATACCAGTGAAGCACAATCAAGATTATGTACCGTGTGTCTGTAAGGTTCAGTGATAATGAAAAAGACAGTTTGTTTTGTAAAATATGGACTGGATTTCCCATAGAGCTCTTTTAATAGCTTTTCGTGACTCAATAACAGAGCAAAATGCCTCTAGCCCAAATAAGGCACTCACCTACCGAGAGCTGCAGATTTGCCTTAAATTTTCACAGCCAGATTCAAGGTATTCTAGACAACTTGTAGGCGCTTTCAGGATCCCATCTGCTCTATTTGACTTAAGAAGTGACATTTGGGATTGTATATCTTCGATTTAAAAAAAAAAGTCATCGAGCCAGGTAACTCAGCTGCAACTTTGCACAGAAACTCAGGAAAGAGGACTAACTCATTGAACAATCATTTGCGTACTTGGAATGCGGTAAGTGGCTTCCACAGCCTATTTTTTGTTTTCCAATAGAAAATCACAGCCCACAGATGATCCCTGTGTGCTGATTTCTCCAGTGGCTATTTTGAATGAAAACTGCTTTCATGATTAAGCAAAAATTTATAAAAGGACTTCTGGAGTAAATATTTTTTCCCTTGTGTAATTAAATATATCTTTTCAGCAGACATTCCGTGTGTTTGAGTCTCAGGTGAAAGAAAATGTGAAATCATTTAACTTCCTAACAAAATTACAATACCCAATGGATAGAGTATTTTTCATAAAATTAGTTCCTAAGAAAAGTGAAGGGAAATTCCATCCTGAGATTAATTATACATTCTCCAAAATAAGTTTACTTAAGTACTTTATGTTTTTATCTTCATATTTTTAAACAAGCTTCATATTTCATGACCATGCAGTAAAGAAACCAAAGTGAAGAGTATCAAGTTTAGGCTCGTGCTGGGCTTTCACATGTGCAGACTATTCTGTGCAGGGAAAGTCGGAATCGATTATCCATTTTTTGCGATGGGATAGTCTAAGGACCAGGAGACAGCCTTCTGAGAAAGGCTGATGATGTCGATGCTTTAGAGACCAGCAGAAGGTTGCACCAACAGTAGCAATATCAGTAAAAGCTGTTACGGAGTTTAACCCCTTTCTCCAGCCTAAATAATAAACAAATAAATAAGGGGTGGGAGGACTAAGATGGCAAAGCTTCTTGAAGACTGCAAAGGTAAAATTTAAAGAAACAAATTTTGGAGAATGTACAAGCATTCTCATGATGAAATGTCACCAGTTTCCACAGGAACCAAATATAGTCCATTTCTATACTCTCCCCCGCCCACGAGTATGTAAGATGCATTTTGTTTGTCTCTCTGTTTTAAATTAATAGACTTCTTATCTTCTGTTTCATCTGAAGAACACGGAAGTACCAGTTTAAAGCTTCTTTTTCCTGGTTTCCTGATTATTTACTTATTTTTCCAGAGAAGACTTCACATTTGAATAAAAAGAAATCTTCCCATCCCAAAACGTACATACAGGCCCATCAAATCTCAGGTCTTAAAATCATAAAAGTCCTTTAAACGTTAATTTAATGACTTTGTAGACAGGGTTAGACTTCATAGTGAATTAGAGGAAACCACTATAATCTTGAGGCCTGCTTAAATGTATTGGTAGGAAATAGAAAAAAAATTTGGTGCGACCCACTGAGTTCTCCAACTGAGGATTACAAGGATTCAGAAACAGACTGTGTCAGTGATTCCAAATACCCATGAAAACTACTTTTTGTTGTTTTTGAAGAAGACATCCATTGATTTATAATAGGAAATGTGGGAAGCTGGGCTGGCAATCCCAGTAGCTGTGGCAGTGGGAAAGCTGCCAGTCATGTTTAATCTGGTGAGAGAATGCACTGCAGAGAAGGGTAATGAGTGTGCAGAAGTCAGCCTTACCTGTGGGTCTGCGTGGAACAGAGTAAAAAACCTTAAAATCAAAGCAGCAACCGAAAATGTGATCAAGACTCATTGATTTGTTATATTGGAAATTATGTTCAGGTTGAGCACCACAAAAATCTCTAACGTGTAACAATCGAAATTTTCCGAGATATATAAATTCTCCCTCTGATGTAGAAATGTGTAATTAGTATAGAATATAGGTTGCTTCCTCGGTCTACTTGCCTATATAAAACTTTGCAAACAGAGGTTATTTATTTTGTCAGTGCTTTTTTTGGAACTGGAATTATTAATAACTTCTAAGTGGCTATTGTGAAACCTTTCCTTGTTAAGCACATTTTCCTAGCTTATTATAATTTCACATTTTGTTGAACGTGCTGACTTCCTCTGGCAATATGTAAAATTGCCAGGCAGAAATTCTGCATCCCGAGTATCAGGGTAATATTAATATTTAAATAGTTTTTAGAAAGAGCTTCTAAGCAAGAATATAAAGGAAAATTATTCTGTAAATTTTGCTGCCAGTTATGAAAGACTTTTAAAAAAATTTTTAACAAAGCTGGATCCATTCGTACTTTTGCAGGGAAAAAATAAAAGCCTTAGCTGTAATTCAAATTAAACACATTGGCACAGATAACTTAGTTTTATTTGTACATTTCTGGCATAATGTGCTGAGAAATACTAATTCTTTTGACTCCCTGCCAATTTTCTACTAATCAAAATGGAGAAGATATGCACTGTTTGGATTATACCTAAAAATAGTTGTGCTACAGTCACATCGGCAAATGAAATTAAATTAGTTTCTCTTTCTTCCCCTTCATGCACACCCTCCACGTTATTTAAATTTCCATCTAGAATATTGCTCCTAAGTCTCACAATCTTTGAGTCAGTGTGTCCCAAATAGAATTGCTACATTGCAATGATTTTTAAGCAAACTCCATTGAACTATACTTTCTGGGGGATACCCATATTTAAAGTGTCTTTACTAGACAGCTCTTATAATGTGATCAAAGAGGTATCAATACTATAAATAGATACATTGTGGATTATTTTAGTTCATCAGTAGTATTTTGCCCTTTTGTGGGAGGAGAGGGAAAGTTTCTGAATCAATCAGGTTTGGTTATTTGGTCATGGAGCAAAGCCAATTGCTCTAATCACAGTCTGCAAAAAACAGCAACCCCTAGAAGCCCACACTATGCTTGCAACATGAACACATGATCTTTGCAGTAACATTAGCAGCACCCAAGAAAGCACTGGAAATAAGCCTTTAAAATTTTGCCTTCACTTGGATGTTGGGCAAAGATCATCTTTACACTTGAAGCCAGTTCTCATCTTGAAATTGCCATACTCACTAGCTGTTTTTTGGAGCACTTCTTCAGTTCTTCTTGAATGAGTTATGTTGGGAAAATAGAATAATTTAATCTGGCTCCCCTGGCCTCAGGGCCGGTTGGGGGTGGTTCAGTAAACAAATTTTGTGTGTGTGGGTAGAGTTGGTGTGCCTGCCCAGTGCTGCCACCTTGGCTGGCATTTTACTGCCTCCGGCAGATGTTGCTCCCCACAGCCATATTTTCCAACCTTAGGCTTCCAGGGACCTGTTTGCCAGTTACCTAGCTCATGGACCTGCATGTAAGGAGACTGGCATGTGAGGGGTCTGGTGGCCCAGCCTGACGTGTGAAGGGTTTATGACCCAGTCTGTGAATGGGCTTGAGGGGTCTGTGAGCCCCAGACCCAGCCCTAGCTCAACAACTGGCGCAGCCGGCAGGATTACAGGTGGCAGGTAAAAGAACCTAGCAAGTGGCATAATCATGTAGCTTTATAATTGGTGACATCAGCAGGATTCAGACATTAGGCCTAGCACTACAAGCTAGAAACATCTAGAACACCTAGTTCTAGATAAATTCTCTTTGTAGCAGCATTAATGGTTTCCTAAAGCTCTGGTTTCACCATCTCTCAACATGTACAATTGCTTTTTTCCTGTCCACATTT